TGCCCCTGAATTTCCCTCTGGATCAGGTAACTCACCCTCAGGGTCCTGAACATTGATCCTGCTTGTGTTTGTACTCTGCCTCTGGATTGCCCTTTAGATATAGTAACTCAATCCTTGATTCCTGTCCCCTGATAAGGCCTGACTTTTGGCTTCTGCCTTCCCCAACTCATGGGGTGTAACCACTAAGCAACACTGCCCAAAACCCAGTCCATTAACATAGGTGGAGGAAGAAAAAATATTTTTGGGGGGGCTGAACATGCACACACGCATGTGTGCATGTATGTACCCACCCCCAGGTGGGAAAGTCTGCAGGAGGAGGGGAAAGCACCGTGGGGAGAGCAGCATTGCCTGGCGCTGCACCAGCCCCGGCTCTGGCCTCAGGAGGTGCCGCGCTGACACTGGCTGCCTCCCTGGTCCTGGCCCTGGCCCTGGCCCTGGCCCCAGCCCCAGCCCCAGCCCCTCACTGCCTAGGGGGCCCTGGAGCCACAGTAGGACCAGCCTCGGCTATGCCACTGGGTTGGAGGGGATGGAGCCCCTGGGACCCCTTCACTGCCCCACCAGGCCCTGCACAGAAGGGCAGATGGGGCAGGATGCGGGACAGAGCTGCAGCTCATCTGGGGGGCTTAGGGAGGGGTGACAGGTTCTGGCACTGCACGTATCCTGGAAGGCACAGGGGACGCATGCCCCCAGGACTGTGTGGAGCAGTGTGGGTTGCCCCTGTTGACTGGGGCCAAGACAGTATCAGGCTCATCCCTGTGGGGGTGGAGGGGCATGCTGTGCTCCAGACAGGCAGCAGTGGTGCTGGGAGGGGGGGTCAGGTGGGCTATGGTGAATCTTGGGGTGGCTGCAGCCCCTCCCCCCCAGCCTGCTCACAGTGCCTGCCCCAAGCACAGTCTGCCCTGCCCCCCCACCAGGAAGAGCCTGGCCCCAGCCTGCAGCTGCAGCCCACTTTGCCTCACGCAGATCCGGGGCCATGTGCCCCCCGTGCCTCCTGGGGTGCATATAGCAGCAGGAGCCATGCCCCACCATTAGCTGATTGGGGCTCAGTACCCTACCCCACCCCGCCCTGCCCCGCCTCAAGTTCCTGCCCCTCCACCAGCCCTAGCCCCACTCCCTCCCTCAGCACTGCCTGCGTGCCCCTCCCCACCCCTGTTGCAGCTGCCAGAAGCCCAAGGCCAGGATGCCTTGTGGCCCTACCACTGCCCTGCGTTTGGGGGTGCTAAGCCCTGTTCCCCCTCCTGCTGCCTATGCCATTACATCTAGAAGAAGGCAGGTTCTTGACTCCATCCTCTGCCTTTGCTTTCAATGGAATTGAAACTTCTCTGCTGCATTGCCTTCTATCCACCAACTATTAAATGCAAGGTATTGTGGCTCAGCATAAATGATCACTGGAGAGGACACATCCTAATGCCTAACCTGTGCCTGGGTGGTTGAAACATGAGAGAGTCAGGTTCAAATTCACTCCAAGTGAGAGGGAAGCCTGGAACCCTGGTCTTATGAATCCTTGGCAAGTGCCTTAATTACCCCTTTGCTGCTGAAGATGGGAGGGCCTTTCTCTTCTGTTATTTTTCTGGAACTTGCATGTGTACATAGCTGACAGCTCATGCACATGTTCAGTCTACCTGTGAATATCTATGCATTCATTACAGAGGGTCAATAGAATCACACCTTGTGTATAAGGGTAAAAAATACTCTTTAGATACACAAAGGGGAATAAAATCCCTCCCCTAGAGTTCTGCATTGCACTCACAAGCTTCTCTCTGGTACTACTCCCACCTTTTTCATGTGTTGGGGGCGGGGGGTGGGGAACCACCACCAACAAAGTGGACATAATTGAGAATTTTCTGCCAAAAATAGAGGGGGTGGGAGGGCAGAGAATGCTGTCAGAGAATGCTGAATTATTAATATGATAAATGAAATAAAGTCTTGGTTGTATCCTAACCTATCAAGTTTCCTTTCAGCTTCCTGGGTGACTGAAAAGGACCTCTAGACTATCAGGGTCTGCATGTCTTGGCCATTCTTACTGAAAACTCCCTGCCATTAGACACCCAGGAATATTAGGGGGCCTATTGCCAGCCTGGAAAACCTGGGTGGTTTGGGGGTCCTTGTAACAGAGTGAGCCCCAGCTGTTAATACAAAAGAAGAATGTAGGCCCTCCTTCTTGTCACTGTCTTTTTGTAGCCTTTGTTTTAAGGGTAAGATGACAGATGTTTAAAAAAATGGATGCATTCACAATCTTTCAGAAACTCAAGCTGGATGGAAACGGTGCCAATAAGGGAAGCAGGATCTAGCTCCAAGTATCTACATTGAAGTCAAGCCAAATTCTCTTCTCAATTGTCAGCAGGCTAGCAATTCCTGCAGAAATCTCCATTATAACAAGTTGGCTCTGCCATAAGGGACTTGTAAAACTTTTGTAAAAGCAGCAGCAATTA